AGAAAGAAAGAAAGAAAGAAAGAAAGAAAGAAAGAAAGAAAGAAAGAAAGAAAAGCTTATTAGCCAAGGGTTAGCCTTTGGTCATTCCGGCTTTAGCCCCTTCATGCACTAAACAGTAGCAGAATCGAGATGGCAGGTAGGACACCAGGAAACCCCTTCTTTATTCTGTCCCATGAAGAAACCATTTGGTGGACGGAGATGATGAACCCACCATTACCAACCAGAAGACCGTTTGTCACGCTTAACAGGCTTGGATTCTTTCTTTCTGCAACCCTGTTTTGCTCAGGGCTGTAACTAAATGTTTTTAATGTCTTTATTGTTCAAATAATTTTCAAATTCCCCATTGCAATATTCTCCCCAATTGTCCAACAGAATCCAGCCTGGACATATCCAGAATGACCAGAGTGACGTAGTGGATAAGGACTTGAACTGGACTGGGAAGCCCAGAGTTAAGTCCCCCTTCAGATTTGAAGGTTCACTGGGAGACTCAAGGCTCCCACTTTGTCAGTGCATGGATGTCATGTCCCCCAAACAACCCTACGAAGTAGTTTGGGCCAAAGAGGGTTGTTGTTTAGGGGACATGATGTCCATGCGTTGAAAAAGTGGGATTGTCCCTTGTTGGAAAGAGTGAGAACCTCTGAGTGTGTAGGCCAGTGCTCTCACTGCTGGGGTTGCTTCATTCCTCGGTGTTTTGTGAGCAGGTCCCGTCCTGTGCCTTGGTCACAAGAGTGGAGCAGAACCTTACTTAGCTTGGGTGTGCATTTATAGAGCATTAAAAGGTCCCATGGTGACTGGAGAAGTTCACCAGCAAGCGATGGAGATCTCCCCCCAAGTGGACTATTGCCGTGTGCTCTACAAGAAGCTGCCCTTGAGGAACACTTGGGAGCTTTAGCTGATCCAAATGGGTGGCACAGGCAATGGCGCCCATTTGACACCACTGCTCCGTGAGCTGCACTGGCTCCTAGTGGGCTTCCAGGTGCAATTCACCTGTAAAGCACTTCACAACTGGTGCTGAAGACAGCATAAAATTATTAAAAATCACAATAAAGCATCTCCACAAGCAACCTTTCCCCAAAGTCAAGCTACCAGCTCAATAGCCCCTTTCCCCAATGTGTACGAGCCAGGACATCCTTCTGAAGGTTGGGGCCACCACAGGGACACTCCATAGGTCTCCCACTCTGCCCTCATGGGGAGAAAACAGCTCGTGGGCTTTTGGAGAAGGCAGTTCAGAGAAGGACACTCTGTTGATGCTCCACAGATCTGTTCCTTGTACTACCAGCCCTTCTTCCCCATCTTGGCTGACACACCCAGGGAGGTTCTAGCCAACCACCTTTCCCTTTGCTTACAGGAAGGGGCTGATTTCTTAACCATAAAGCAGATTCTCATCAAAGCAGATAGGAGAAGAACTTTTTTCTCCCTCTGAGTCCTGCAAGTAGCAAAGTGAGGGACAGGCAGAGACAGCATCAGCTGAGTGCCCTGTTTGGAAGAGTAAGGGGAACAGAAGATGATAGGCCTGAGACGCCATGCCTTTCCTGAGCAGGGAGACACTCCAAGAAGCTCTTCCCACTTGAACTAATTCAGCTGTAATTGTTCACCTACCTCTTCTTCCCCCTGAACTTTTGCGATGCCTTTTCTACATTGACCAGGACACTTCCTCCTAAAGTTAACCTCCTACCAATAAAACATTCTGCTTCTCCCTAACTGGTGGCTTCCAGATGTATTGATTATCATCTCTATAATCCATCAACTAGCGTGGCCACTGTAGGGTTGCATACAGGATGCCTTCCTGACTATGTCTTCTTTGGCCACCCAAGGTTTGAGAAGGGGCGCATCTACACATACATCGGGGAGGTTGTGGTCTCCATGAATCCATACAAACCACTGGAGCTCTATGGGAAGGATGTGATTGAGCATTATCGGGGCCGAGAACTATACGAGAGACCACCTCATCTCTATGCAGTGGCCGATGCAGCATACAAAGCCATGAAGCGCCGGGCCATGGATACTTGCATCGTCATCTCAGGTATGTCTTCTCTTTCCTTCCTTCCTTCCTTCCTTCCTTCCTTCCTTCCTTCCTTCCTTCCTTCCTTCCTTCCTTCCTTCCTTCCTTCCTTCCTTCTTCCTCCAAAAGAGGCGGGTTACTGACTTTTGGAGCATGGTAACCCAATTATAGAAATCATAGTTGATTAATCAAGTAGGATGTTAGCTTGACATTGATTACAGATGAGTGTATAAGTGAATACAAGACTTCTGAAATAAAATTCCTTCCTGCCTTCCTGCCTTCCTCTATTTCAAAACTATATTATCAACCTTCCCCCACCTCCTGTCCTCTCCATGTGTTGGATTTCAAGCCCCATAGGTTAACACTCAGTGGGACACCAACTCATCTGGAGGGTACCAGAAGAGACAAGGTAGGCATGCAGTAAAGATACAGACCAATTGAGTGGGGAATCTCTTTGGTCAATTCAATATTTTTTAACCATTTAATCAAGCTGATTCGCCATTGCAGCCTTATTCTTCTATAAATTGGATACTATTATCGCTTCCCTTAATGATTAAGCTCATATCTGAATCGTAACATTTTGCATTGCTGGAGTTCTTGGTTTTGGTGTTTGGGGGTTGCAGAAATTTCACTGCTCTCCTAGGGGACAACAATGCTGAAGTTTAGGAGAAGTAACGTTTCTTGGTTGACAAGGGTTGTAGATCCTTCTGTTCAGCCTGCGTTGTATCTGCTCGGGTAGGATGGTCCAGAGGGAGCATGTTGTTTGGCAAGAGGGTGATAATTTTTTGGCAGATTATTTGTCTGATGAAGTTTCTTATCCATGTGTTGGTGGCTTCCTGTGTGAACGGTGGTGTTGACAGCTCAGTGACAGGATGGCTTGTTTGGAGGGTGGTGTCCTTTTCCTGTGCTCCTTCACAAATGACCATTATTTATCATGAAACGTTTGCAACCTCAAAACAAAGTTCAGAGAACTCCAATAATGCCATGGACCAACCTTGAGCTACTCATATTCCTTACCATTGGATCATCGTGTCTTAATTCCAGCGCATATTTTCAAGGTCAAGTCCTCTTTGCCAGGAATAGATGATGCAATAATAAAGATAAGAGCCATGGAGTCTGTGCAGAATCTCAAACTTTTGGGCCCCTCTAATTAGGAAGAGCACCCCTTTTGCACATGGGTGTGTCTTCTGCTCAGAGTTCCTCACTCCTTTTAAAGGTTGTCCCACCAGGATGGGTGGCAAATGCTTTGAACAAATCTTATGAAAACCCACTTCACATATATCCAACTCTGACATGCAGCAGAATGTGATAACATCCTCAGGAAGTAAAATAGGTATAGGTAGAAAATAAATACATTTTCTAATGCTACCCATAGTCCAACCAAACTTTAGCACTCTTCAGTTAAAGGAACATGGCAGAGATCATTCTTTGTGATGATAGGTTTTGGGTTTTTTTTTACTGAGATTGGTTGCCAAATAGATTGTAGGATTCATAAAACGAATCAATCCAGAGTTT